CTTCAAAATAGACTACAGTTCTATGAAATGGCAATAAATATGCCAAATAAAATTGTTGATGTTCATGCTCATTATCGTTTATCATGTTCTGCTATAAAAAAAAACTCATGCTAAAACACGTAAAAATTTAACTTAAATAAACTGTCACCCATGCGCCTTTTTTTAAAAAAAATAGCAGGAGTGCGCTGGAATATCTGATAATTTAGTTAGTGTACTCAGTCCACTCGCTTCCCTTCTTAAGTTAAGTACTGATGATAATCAATGTTTAACCACATAAATTATAATTTTAAATGATTTATATCAAACTAACCAACTCGTGAAATGCATGGACCAGGTCACTCTTTAAACAATAATCCGCCTTCATGTACATAACCAGGCCTATGTATTATTATTTTTTTGTTTCATTTTATCGTTTGTCATTAGGTGATAATAATTAATCATATATAATTAATAACATTCAGTGGATTTCAGAGAAAAAAGAAAAGAACGGCGTATATCGTTAAAAATCGAAAAATATCTTTTAGTAAAACTGTGTGTCGAAAAATAAAAAGTATAAGAAATTAAGTAATGGTTAATACTCGTAAATTAATATATAAATGAATAGTGTATGTATAGAAATAAATAAATAAATCATGAATCAATTTTATTGACTTTCTATATACCTAATAATGAATTTTTAATTGGAAACCGGTCGTACATTAAAAATATAATAAGACTCCAGAATAAACATTTTGTATTTATTTACATATTGAAAAAGTATAGCTTGTATGATTGAACACCTATCGGCAAAGACGTTAGGGTTTTATTTTAATAATAAAGTTAATACAAAAAACTAAACATTTTTGATAGACGTCTGTATATTACAAAATATCAAGTTAAAATCGATGGTTTAAAATGATCATCAATAGAAAAACTTAATTAGAAACTTTGAATATTTCATTTACTTACAATTAAATAAAAAAACAGGGAGTACATAAAATTTTTACAAAAAATATCAATCTATATTTTAACGTTTCTGAAGAGGCATCTTCCTTCATACCTACCATATTGCTACAAAAAAACTACGAAGATTCTAGTTATCCCAGAGATAAAACCGACACCTTTATTATTAATGAAGTCTTACCTTATTTTCGTGGATGTTTTTCGAACATTTTCTATTTTTATACACGATAACATGCGTTTTTCCGCAAATTTTGAGAAACTATTTATTTTATAAAATGTTCGCAATTTCTTGTTTCGTGTCCTCGGAATTCTGACGATTCTAAGACAACACTGCCTGCCGGCTGACTTGTCTACACGTCAATAATTGAAAGTAAAGTTATTAACTGTATCCCTAAATGTGATGCAGTCTTGACGATATCATCACTTTCACCCAGCTATAGCCTCGATTACACTGAGCGAGTTTACATGCTAGGCACCGGCGAATTAACTCGCTGTGACTAAAGTCGCTCAATATAATCAGCTTAGTCGCTTACTCGCCGCGTGTTGAATACTCGCTTCTCGCTTGCGATTTATGTTAACGGCCGGGCTACTTTAGTCGCTAGTCACTGACGTTTTTACACTCCAACGAATAAAATCGCTCAATGTAATCGCCCTAGCTGGTGAAATCGCTAGCGTGCCAGCGATTAGTGACTGGTCAAAATGTCGGAAACTGTAGTTCGCGCGGGAGTTATTGTGATTTTTCATTTATTACGACAAGAGTTGGAAAAGAAAAAGTATAAAAAGGAAAGGTTATGGATCAGAAGTTGGATTTCAAGACGAGAGAAATATGGTGCATCCAATAAATTATTAAAAGAACTAAAACATGAAGACTTTGCAGCCTATCAAAATATTCTAAGGATGAACGGGGCCCAGTTAAATAAATAATAATAAATAATTAATAAATAATACAATTTAAAATATATACGAAAACGAATGAGTTATCTATATCAATGACAACTTTCTTTTACATGTATATCACATGAATGCGTGTACGCGACTAGCGAACGAGCGAATTTAATCGCTCAATGTAATCGGACAAGTCGCTACACGCTCACACGGGCGCGACTTTAATCGCTGGTAAAATCGCTCAATGTAATCGAGGTTTATACCTAGTCACATTGGACACAGATTTACGATGTGTCTGCAAAATACATCTTTGCTAAATCGTATGCGGCATTGCCCATTTGCGCATGTATTTGGGTTCAAAAGACGTCAGAACGAGACTTCGCCGACACTGCGAGTGTCATTGTACTCGGAACGAAGGACTGAAAGGGAACACCAGCGGACAACAGTAAAAAACCGGATTTTTAATTTTTTTATCATATCAATTTATAATTGGTTTTATCGTTATTATTTTCTTCTTACAAAACGTATATCACATTCAAAAGTTGAGAGAACACCGATAGTAGTAATAATAATAATAATAATAATAATAATGATAATAATAATAATAATAATGATAATAATAATAATATTATAATATATTAAATTATTAAACTTTTAAACCTATAACAGGAAGCAAAAAATCTTATACATACATATAATTTAAATACAATATCATGGCTCATTCAAAATAAAACAATATTTTTGGACAAAGCAAATTCCATAAAAAAAAAAAAAAAAAATATTGTAATTTTAATGTAAGTATATTATGTTATAATACAAGAAGACTGGGTACTTGAAAATTATTTTCAGGAAACTGGTAAACAAATTAGATGACGTAACAGTGAAAATAAATCGTTCACGTTAGGGGTATTTTATTTTTACATGACAGTTACCTGAGTTGAACACGTTTTACTACGCACACGGTACAATATTGACACGAATACATTGCTAGGACTTTTTTTCAGTTAAATATTCACACGATATACTATAAAAAGATTTGGCCAATTATTAAAAAATAAAAATAATTATTAAAATACATAAATAGGGGTTTTGGTTTGATACAAAAATTGTTCAAGTAGAGTAATATAAATATAATTTTATCGTACACGTGTATAAATCTAAGTATCACATCAACTTCATATATTTATTATTTTTATTCTTTTAGGTAAACAGTACGAAGTCGTTGGATGCTACAGAAAATGACTTTTTATATTTTAAACACAACGGCGATCAGGGGCATAACTATAGATCTAAATTGTAAATGAGAGAGACAGGGCAGAGGATAATGGGGAGTAAAAATAAGAACAAGAAAAATAAAGATAGTGAGAGAGATCAATGCAAAATATCTACAAATATTATAATATATTTACAAGGTATTTAATAGTACTGAGACCCCCAATCGCCTTTGCGCATTAAAAATAATAATAATAATAATACAAATAATAATAATAATAATAATAAAATTGGTACTGATTTATTTCTGAACATCGTATGACATTAGTTCGTGTTCTGCTTACTTTTTGATTGACACATTTGAAAAAAACGACTAGTAAAAATTAAATGAGTTAAAAAAAAAAAGAGAAATAATTGTTGAGAGAGAGAGTTGATGTGGTTTCTAAATAATAATTATTAATTATATTCTCGTATAGTAATAAATACAAACATTAATTGACCAATTGACCAAATTAATATAAAATATGTGTAGGAAGTAAAGTCTCAAAATTATATATGAAAATACTATACTTATATCGAATTGCTTTTCCACGAAATGAAAAAAATGAAACTTTCCATCGATTTTAGCGACCATGTCATATATTCGTATTCTAAATCATTCAAAATCAATGCTATCAAAGCAATATTCTTTCGCGTCGGCTATTCTCCGTGAATTTTCTATCGCGATTAAATGACGTAGGTACACTGAGAAATTATGTATCAATTGAAAAAAATTAAGTATAAATATATATATATATATATATATATATCCAAACATAAAAGGAACAATACGGTTTGGTTTTAAATTTGAATAATAAACGACAATTTTTAGCGAATCTAGTGCGGACGCAGTTACGAAGTACTTAACAATATGCGTTCAAAATATTTATATAACATTGCCGAATGACGGAAATTTAAATCTAATAATAGTTTATCATATACGCACATCGATGACGTGATCACAAGGTACCGTAATTAATACATGGATTATTATTGCTACAAAGAAAAAACGTAGAGGACAGAAACACAGAAACGATTAAGAAGAAGATCGCGTGGTGAAAACGATCAATATTGTGTGTGTATTTATGTTTAGAATTTTTAAGGATAGTTAATTATTATTATTATTATTTTTTTTTTTTTTTAACTCACTATATTCAAATAAATCAATTCACTGACAATGTAATAATTAAAATAGAACAGAGGAAAAATTAAACATTCAATGCTTAAATTAATATTATTTTTTGGGGAACATTAATTATGATAAATAATATTATAACATTAAAACTGTGATCAACCATCTACACTCAAATATATATATTTTATATTATTATATACCAGCTATTAAAATATCAATTTTTGAAAACGTATTACACACACCCAGTCTCCAGTTGTTCGACTTAAATCAATCTTTTTTTTTTTTTTACACACATCTACAGTATTACAGTATAAGTCGCTTATTGACATTCGACAGTCATTTTTCAATGAGTACCCAGTACAAATCGTAATTGCTTATCGAGATTTTCTTTTTGCCATAATCGTACACGCGATTATAATATTATATTAAAGTACACACAGCAAAATGTGTAATTATAGTTTGTTTTTGAAAGAGTCTAAACACACACAAACACATACACACACATACTATAATAATTCAACGTAAACACATATTATCATAATTCCTAAGGACTTGTGAGATCACTGAATAATATGAGGGATGAGAGGGAACGTATTTTCCCAGCAAAACATTAATTATTATTATATACTGAGTGCTTCACGATTAAAAAATAATGCGACTTACATTTTTTCGTCTTCAAATAAAACACCTTACAACACATACGTTAAATATTTATATATATATATATATATATATATATGTATAGTATACAGGTACTTATCTAATAAATAATATAAATTTTATTTGTTTATTTTTTTTTCTTTTTTTCATTTTTAATTAACACATCAATATAATGTATATTATGTGTAGTATATATTTCATACAAGCGATTTTCTTTTGAATCAGTGTGAATACGTTTTCTCTAAATTTAACTGGATATATAAGTGGGATACGACTGATAAGGGGAATGTACGAACTGTACAGGAGATCCGTATGTAGGGGGCACGAACGTGATCACGTTCGACTGCTTCACCGGTGAAGTATAGTTGGAATACGAACCACCGACATCGACTGATGCTGAAGCCACCATCTGTTGTTGCTGCTGTTGTTGCTGTTGCTGCTGTTGTTGTTGCTGTTGTTGTTGCTGTTGCTGTTGATGCTGCTGCTGTTGTTGTTGTTGTTGCTGTTGCTGTTGTTGCTGTTGCTGTTGGCGCAACAGGAGGTGTTGATGACCGTACGGCGGCGAAGAAGATGCCGAAGATCCCGGAGACGTGGACACGGACGACGACGACGAGGACGTCGGTTCGTACCGAGACGGCTCGGCCGCGGTCTCGGTCATCGGGCCCTCGTACAGCACGCAAATGCTACCATCCTCTTCGCCGATCCTGTACGAAACCTCGGCCGGGTCCACCCACAGCGTTAGCTCGTCCGGCAAATATGTGCGTATCAGGTTGCACGACAGGCCGCACGTGGCTGCCGCCTTGGCGATCACCGGGTCCATTTTGTCCTTGTTGATCCTGATGCATCTGTACGCGGAACCGCGATTCGGTGAGTCCGGGAACCAGAAGTCCTTGTACTGGTGGCTCATCACCGACATCAGCGACACTTGCAGCATCTCGATCTCCGGCTCCAGGAAGAACTTATCGCCCTTGCTGCGCACCAGCCTTGCCCGATGGCCGGCCCGCAACATCGAGATAATGAACTTCACGGCTGACTCCAGCTCCAACTGCATCATTGGATTGAAAAATCTAAAACACACATAAACGCGCGAACGCACGCACAATTGTTTTACTAAAAAATGACAATACGTTTAGAATATTTTGCATTGCACACACCATATAAAATGATATCAAAGCAATGCGTTCTATTGTTTTAATAATTTAGATATAATAGTGACTTCATATCTTGCGTAGGTAAAATTTTAAAATGTTTTAGTAGTCTATAGGACTATAATATAAGCTAAACAACATTGAGAAAAGTGTTCGGATGAAAATCTCCAACAGAGATTTTTAGTGTGTGGAATAAAAGGTATTGAAAAAAAATTTTGAAGTGACGGTCAAAAAAGAAAGATAAGAGAAAAAAAAACATGACGGTAACATGCAGAACGGTAAAAAAAAAGGTTGCAGTTGAATAAATAAAACAGTTAATTCAACGTAATAAAATACGTAGTATAATACGAGAATACATACGTAAAAGTATGTTAATACACTGATTATATATACTTAATATATAATTTGTAAACCCCCCTCTCGAAAAGACACTCTATAAATATTCCTGGTAACTTGCATTAATGCAAAATGTATAGGTTTGCATGATTTTTCAGAATTCTAATTTCTGTTTTTGATTGCAATTAAAAATTTGTTTAGCTTCGACAATCAAATATATTTTTACGTTGATAATTACTAACATTACCCATGATACTATGGCATACTTTAGATAAGCAAAGTTATAAAACTATTGTCGTTATTAGTAAATTGTTTTTATCTAATATTTTTATCACGAAATAAGCAGTAATTCGTAGATTTTGTTCAAACAATACAGCAGGAAAATTCATAGTGCGAGTCGAAAATCGTATATTTATAACAGGAAATTATTATTTCGTTAGTTTCACTACATAAATGTATGCATTTAATTTTAATAACTAAAATCAAATATAGATGTATATAGTTAAAAATTTATGATTAATCATTATATCACAACTGAGTAAAATACTCAAGTTCATAAGTTATCTATAAGTGACTAAAATTTTAAATTTTAAATTTTAAATTTACTGATGAATGCGCTTTCAAAAAAAAAAAAAAAAAAAACAAAAACAAAGATAAACAGAAATCCAATTAATAAATATCATTAAAATAACATTGATAACATTTTCATAGTAGCATAAATACAATTCACTATTATTTATGGGTAGTACACATAATTTTATTAATCTAGTAATTATATTAATAATTTATATGATAGATAATACGAGTAAGTAACCCATAATTTAGTCAGAATACATTAATTGAATTGATAGCAACAATATTAAATTAATAATAAAATTGTAAATTTATAGGAAAAATAACCAGTTAAGTAAACTACAGCGAGCTATAATTTTATTTTAAGAGGAAGTCAATTCATGTTTTTTTGTCCATGTCATCAAAAGCACGCTACACAGAACATAAATTGAGTCATCTAAGTAAAATGTAAGAATTATATTAAAAATAATTATATTGATAATACTAATGTAATATGTGTAATATAAATACTAATACACAATATGAAATTTAAAGCTAATTTGTTTTTGTAAAATATAGACTCACACAGAATTTAAGGCTATTTAAAAGAACTTAAACTGAAGCTACAGTAACATCTATGTCAGTCAATATTCTAAAATATTATACATCACACTTTTAACAATATATTTTTCTTTAAATTTCATATGTATTATGTGATAGCTCAAAATCTAACATTAATAACAAAGCATATGTTAGGTACATGTTGCTTGATTTTCATATGTTGTACGTCAATTAGTCAAAGGCAACCAAACATAAACATATAGGTATCCACCAAATGAAAAAAAGTATACGAATGAATTCAATTATTATGTTTCTAGTTATATAATATTTATAATACAAATTTCTTTTTTAAAGGAGTAATTTTATACTCAGTTGTAAGTATACTTATTTATTGTATATTGTTATACATTGTACGTATTCTATATATTTTATTTGGTTATGAAATCTGTTTAATTTTTACTTATTAGTTTATAATAAAAAATAAAAAATTAATACTACACAAAAACTAATTATTTAGCTAAATATTTTAATTATTTAATTTCAAACAGTTCAAAGTTAACTCATTAAAATCAATTGTATGATTAAAGTTAACTAAGTGTCAAAATATTTAACTATCTATATTATAATAACATAACTTTAAATTTTAATATTTATTTTGATAACAAGTAAAATGGCCCTGGTAGAATTATAGATTCAAAAGAATATAACATATAGCTCGACATATAAGTAACTACAATAGAATTATGAACAGTAAGGAGTTGGTAAATTTGTTTTATTATTTCTATTAGTGGAATGAAAAAAACTGCTAGACCAATAATCTAACAAATTAATCTACAATGTACCTACAATTATACTCAATTTACTGATGACGAGCAATTAATATATTTTAATATCGTTTTTAATGAAAATTAATATACTATTTTAGTTTTTAAAAAGCCAACAGTTATCAATTTGATTTAAAAAATATAAAAATAGCATTTATTATGATAAATTGTGTTTACTATTATTATTTGTTAATTTCAATTTTATTTATAATTGTTCTTTTATTTAAGCCTTTAGTAATGTTAAAAAAGCAAACATTTATGGCATAGTAAATATATCAACAACGCTATTATCTTTATAGCCAAAATATGATTAAAACTTAAAAATATATAGCACCTAATTATAAAACCACATGAGATTAAACATACAATTTTTATTAAAACTTTTTTTTATGAAAAGATATACTTGATATGAGATCAAAAATGCTTAAGCTATAAGTATACTCTATAAGAATATTATCACTTGACTTCAATATTTTAAATAATTATTTTATTTTGAACAGTCAAATTTGACTTTAACTATAAACACCAACTCCAGGACTTGCTGGTTTGTATTCTTTTAATTCATAATATCAAATATTTTTAATACTAAAATTTATATATATATAAGATACAGATTTAATAAAATTGAAGAAAAATGTTAAAGTAGGTATGTCAAACTATACTAAAGGTTATAATTTTAAATTGATTTTGATAATTATAAAAGTTTTCATAGTATATCAACAGTCAAAATATTATATTTTATTTCATATCATTAACATAAATAATTGAAATCCAATAAAATTAACTTTGAATTACTTTAATAAATATATTGTTTTAAAATATGTTTGTGCAATAATAATTTTATTGAAATTTAATCAAACAACTTCTACTGTCTTGAAGTAAATTATTTTAAGTATACAGTATATAGTTTATGTTTTAATAATGATCATCACACAATAGTGTGTGACAAATACGTTATTAGGTACTTATTTTAAAAATGATTTATCATTCAAGTGAGCCTAAATGTACAAATATTACTAATATTTAATTGTGAATATGTTAGTTAAGTTTGAGATTAAGTTTATTCCCTAGTGTATACTTGATTCATTTCTACATTTTAACCAAAATACACTCAATTAATAAGAAGTAATTTTTTATTCTTAACTAATTATACGGTAAATTAAATGTACATAAATATTAATGCTATAGGTACTGTACATAAATCGAGGTATATTTATGATAAACTGTTTGTTATTTTGAAATAAATGTTGATAAATTTCTAAATAAAAACCAGGAATATAAAAAGTAAAATTTTTCTTATTAAGACAACTTATTTGAGTATAAATATTGTCCTTGTTCACTAACTATGTAAATTACCTAAATATAATTTATCATTTAGACTAGGTAATTTTAATTTAAACTAAAAATGATTTGAATTAACTTATGAATTTTATTACAACAATAATAGATATAAATTCACTATTTTATTACACATTATCAATATTTATTATGTCAAACCTATACTGATGATTATTGTGTATAGCTGTTTACTTATACAGCTTATATAGTGTATAGTTGTAATAAAAAATATTATCAAATAATAATATAACATCAAATATGAATTAATAAAATTACATTTAAAATTAATATAAGTATTAATTTCAATTAAGGGAATATAAAATTATAATTAACAATATAAAGAACTAGTTAATGATTTAGTATTTTGATAATATAATTTAACACCAATATCAACTTTTTCTGAGGGGTAATTAAGAAAATTTTACAGTAGGGGATAATCAAAATCAATATCCATGGTAACCCCCTAACCTGCATCTTATAACTCATCAGTAACCAAATATTAATATAATCCTTTATGTATTCAGGTTCAGGCTTGTGAAAAATTTCAACACTGTATTATTTATTCTTTTTATTCAATTTTATGCTCGATTTTGCGTAGATAACAAAATATTAACAATAAAACTGTAGGTAAGTAACTTAAAAATTAATCATAAATAAATGATTACTGTGTAGCCGTGGGATAGTTTATACATAAATCATGTTTATTGTTTATTACAAATCATAAATTAATACTTTTAAAAATTAAAAAAAATCTAAAACCTTATAAACTATACATTCGTACAAAACAACAATATATAATTACAGTGCATGATAAAGGGAGTCTATCTCCTAACCCATCTCCCGATGCCACTCCAGATTTCTGAAGAACAAATTGGACAAAACATAGTTAACTATAAAAGAAAAATTAATGTTATGGACAGTTTCAAGTATGTCATAAATGTTTAATAGTACAACCTACTTTCACATTTGAAATACATAAAATAATACAATAATTCCCATAGATTAATAATATAAGTATACATTATATAATTAAATCATGAAGTAGGTACAGAGATAAAATGAAACAAACACTAATTTCATAATATACAATTGTACTACAGCTATATGAGATATAAGATATAATTTAATTTGTCAAAGTTAAAATTATCCTTTTTTCAATAAAATATAACTATATGAAACTACCAAGAATGCAATTATGATTTACCTATATAGCTTTAAAAATATAAAACTTCGTAAATTATAAATATTTTTTATCGAATATACAATAACATTGTCTAAATCCTAAGCCACGTGTTGAAAACTCACAATGCATTTATAAATATAAATAAATATTATTAACATTTTATACAACAATAATGTCTATGGAATATTAGTATTACACGATTTAAAAAAAAAAAGTAGCTTAACTATTCAATGTATTTTTATGAAGTTATACTTAATTACTTACAAAATAATAATTTGATAAATACATTAAATTTGTAATTTTAAAAGATTATATTTTTAGCAAGTTATTTAAATTAAAATGGGAATAAAATGAGTAATTTTATTTCTCAATTAATTGTTGTTCATATTTATAGATATTTTCTTAGTATGTCTACAACAAACATGAATACAGAAGAATTATAGCAATTCATATAACTGTTTATAACCTAATTATGTACTCGGAAAATATTTAATTATAACAAATGACCTCAATAACTATAGGTACCAAACGTACAACACTAAAATTCAGTATTTGACACACAAAATATGAAATCGACTGGAAAAATACATGTTTCATCATTATCTACACGATAATAAAATACTTGATTTGTAAAACATAACACTTTGAATTACATTTTATTCTTTCCACAGTTTTTCAAATTTACATTAGGTAATATATAGAATTTGAGTTTTACTTAAGTAAAAAAAAATAATGTCACATTATCAACAATTCAAAAGACTTTCAAATTGTATAATTTAATAAAGAAAAAAATGAGGACAATATATGAAACTATAATGAATCTGAAATTCGGTGTTAAAAGTAAAAGTGATTCGGCAACTAGGTTGTTCAATAAATGTACAGTGTGTCTATACACTTTTATAGCACAAGTTAAAACAATTCATAGCATTTTACGAAAAATCCGAATCAATTTGATATAAATGAAATGTGCCGACATTAATATATTATCTACGCGGTTCTTGCTATGAATTAACGATTAGTTGCTAAAATATCAAAAAAATCAGAAATCGGCCACGTCATATTATTATTTAAAATGTAAAATGAAATGGTTATGTAATTGTAACTTGATGTATGTAGGTACTCGTATAAATTTACTATAACCAGTAAATAAAAAACGAATGAAGATCACCCCAGTCAAAAAAACTGTGAAAAAATTATATATTTTTTCCGTTTACGGAAATTGTCAAATGGAGTGATTTCGTCAGTTTAAGTTTTTCGATCATGCGATTATCTGAAAAACGACACAAATAAAAATAAACGAGGTCTTATCATTAATTGTGCTGCTAAAAATAAAACAATGGCAATTATAATAAAAGACAAACTGATTGTATACAATATATTATAATCATTCATATCAGGGGAAAAATATTACAACTCGGCAATACAAGATAGGGGAAAATTCGATATCATTAAACCCATATTATATTGAGTATAGACAAAATAAACGTGTTTTTAATATTATTATTTGAAACCTCGTTTTTATCAAATATATTAACACAAACGATTCACGAATTCCAACGCTTCGACCCGCAATTAATTTTAACTGGTTCGATAAAATAACATTATCAAATAAGTTGTAGTGAATTAATTCGAAAAACACGAACCATCCGTCACAGTTGTAATTCATATATAATTATACAGTGCCGGATTTCTACCCAAGCAAACAAAGCGGCTGTCTAGGGCCACCAACCTTGGGAGGGCCCTCGTATAGTAAATCCCCATTTTACGATAGGCACAACGAATGTAAACAAATCAAACCGTATTGATTTGTCACAGAAAAATTAGGTTCGAATGATTTCAGGGAAAACATGGTAAAACGTATTTGTTTTTACCCCAACAATCACCGGAGATTATATTAAAATAAAATATTTTAGCTGACGTAGCTGACGATGAGAATCGCTCTCGCCTAAAAAAAAAAAAAAGGACAAAAACAACAAAGCGATCAATTCCGTAGCATTCGTACTAGAAATAATGTTAATGCGACTTTCTACCATTTAGTGATATAGTTATATGATTGTTGCGACAGGGTAGGTAGCTGAAAGACGAGAACGCTGCCGGTGAAATGTATCAAAAGACCGGTAGGAGAGGGTAGTCAGAGTAAAGATTCTCCGACACTTGGGCCAGAGAACATTTTCCAAGTGTTTACGGGAACGTTTTCGTGACTTTTGACGGGTTGGCGAGTGGCCGTCGTCAATAAAATCATTGTAATTAAACGGAACATGTAACGAACAGCACACGATCGGCTCGTCGTTATGATGTACTTACGAGCGCGGGCACCGGTGGCGAGCGTGCGAAACGCGATGAAAAAACATACGAAAGTGTGTGAGTAGGGGATAATTGCGGACGAGAGATTTCCTGTTTTCGGGCCGGCCGTAACGGACAATTTACCCTTGAAAACGCCGCCACCGACGGCGATAAAAATTTAATCGACAACGGAGGCCCCCGCCCGTGGCGGAACTGTCGCGACATCGGCCGATCGCCGCGTACACGCCGGACAGGTGGACACGGACGGTTTACCACGTCGCCTGCCCGGACTTGAATTGTTGGTATCGAAATTGAAACGTAACAGCATCGGGTGCGCGGTGCCGAAATACGGAACACGGTACTCTGCCGAGATCGTCACGATCGGGTCTAAAAGGAAACGGCGAGGGAAAACGATCGGTTGCAAAACTTGGAAACGAAAAATTTGCTCGGCCACTGGTACACCGACGTATTGCTATTCATAATAATTTTATTGGTACGGTAATGGGCGACGACGACGATGACGCCGGTCTGTGCTGCACTTTCTCTTGCGCGAATAACGCTCGCTAAATCCGACCCGGTCGCGGTCAGGAGGAAGCGCGAGATAATAAAGAGAGCGTACGCGGAAGACTTTCGCAAAAGTCCGTTTTTTTTTTTGTTTCGACCACAGTGAAAAAGTAATGCAAACAATAAATAAACATGTAACCGAATAAACGTAGAGGATAATCTTAATAGTAAAGGTATATTTCCGGTAAAAACAATAAAATATAAATACTCACTCGGTCGACGGTCTGACTGGTGTCTGTCGGTAGTTGTTGGTGCAGTGGAAAACGTCGGCGGAACGCTCGCCGCCGTCCGTGCTTGTCGAAAAGTTTTGAGAAAACGAGATAAAATCGAGTTTTATTCTTCGTCTCGCGGAACGCGTCGGAAATATAGGAGACGAAGAGTGGTTTTTTTTGTTATTTTTTTTCCGGTTTGTAATATTTTGACGAATGACACGGACGGACGACAGGCAGCTTATGTGTGAGAGTGATAGAGAGAAAATGAGAGAGAGAGAGAGAGAGAGAGAGAGAGACAGGATGACAGAGAAAGAGTAGACAGACTCACACACATACACACACACACACACAGAGGTCGAGAGCTGCGAACAGCGAGCTACGTGTACACTAGAGGACGATCGGCGTAAAACTGAACGCGACGACGGCGATGAGCGACCACTGCGGCAAGCGTACGGCGTGTGGTGCACGCACGCACATCAGCGAAGTGTTTTTCGGCGAGTCGTGGCGGCGGCGGCGGCGGCGGCGGCGGCGACGGCGACCGTGGACCGGTGGTGGACGACGTACACGGCGGGGCTTGGTACGTGAAATGCGACAATGGTGGTGGTGATGGTGGTGGCGACTCTCAATCCGTCGGCAACCGTGCAAAAATTGCGGTGGGAGCGAAGCGGCTATCGTGCGAAATGCGAACGACTGCGATCGCTGCTGCTGCCGTATGCGCGACGTTGCAATAATGTTCAGCGACGTTCTGCGATACCAACGAAAAATCGGTGATCTCGCGCGAGCCACGTAGCCGTCCCGGTGCGGACGCAGCTGAATATCGAAAAACACTGAACCACCCGAGTTGTGTCTGTCAGGAACGGCTCCAGAGGGGAAGGGCTAGGGGCCGCGCCCCCCTCAAACCGTATTCATAAAAAAATTTATAATTGTTAACCAAAAATGACGTATATTATAATAGTACGACACGCACAAGTATGTAGACAGAGCCATAGTGGTATGACGGTCTGAACGATGTACCTGCTATCTATATTATGAAGAACCAATAAGGCTATAAATAAATAATATTAATATAAAACATACTATGGTATGATACTATGATATTATTATTTTATAATGTTCAAAACACGAATTGCGTAGCACACATTTCTCTACGGACTGAATTGTTGCTTTCTTTTCGTTACAAGATTTTGTAAAAATATAACTTGCCCCCCCCCCCTCAATCAAGGTTCTGGAGCCGCCACTGGCATCTGTGCACCGATCTCTTAGGGCACCGCTCTACCGTGTACATGGTTTAGGCCACGAGGTCCGTACCGAATTCGAGCAATCTCTTTGTCCGTTTTTATTCGTGAAACGAACTTGATTACCACCACGTTACCGGTCGATGGTTGAAACTTGTTCAACGCGTGATCGAGTGTAGAGTAATCCATTCCTTTTGAACGATGACTCGATGTAAGCTTACGATTCCAATTACAGTTTTCGTTTTCGTTAAAGGTATACGTAAACGTGATAAATAAATATAATTGAACATGGAACACACGGTACACGATGTTCGTGTAATATTACCTAAGTACCTCGTACCTTAAATCCAATACGCGACAAACCACGTGTTGATGTATTGCTTACGACTGTTGCGAAATAAATTCATTGCGCGTATTGTAATATCATTTAAAACCTTTAAAAAAGGTTGTAAAATCCGAATGTCCACGTACTTTATAGGCAGACGACAGGACACCAACGTCGTTTTACGATTTCAGAACAATACGCGATAGCGGCTTCTATCTTATACTTTTTTTCCCCGCTGATTGTCACATCCAATATCATCTTCGCCTTTCCCCCAACTATTTGGGGTCCGTCCCACCTTTGTCCTAAACCTCCACTCGAATGGTTTTTTTACATTCCCTACGCATCTCCTACTATTTCAATTATCATATACAATATAATTATCATAATAACTAGATAAAAAAAATTCTATACCCAATAATCGACTTTTTCAAAGTAGTCATAGAGCTTGAAAAGTTTTATCCACAACACCTCTTTGTTAATGGATTGATATTTATACAGCAGTTATTGTAGTTTTTACCGAAGGCCAACATTATAATATTGTAATAATTGTATTTTATATAATTATGAACGAATATATCTTTGAACAGTGGTTTTTTTCAGAACGCGGTTGTTGTGCACGAGTTACCGTCCAATAAATTGCCTACGGTTTTAATCATCGCAGTTCTCTTACCATTGGCGTATCCACGAAAAGATTCTATAGAAGTTTCTCCCTCCGACATACAGCCATATTTAAATTATTCTACGGAATTTTTTATTATAAAATTATACGAAATAATCAACTATTTTTTTCAACACAAATAAAATGTTACATAAAATTATATTTCTGTTTGTATTCCAGTATATCTGTACAGAGTTAAACTGTAGGTTGATACCTGCAACCCAACAAAACTAAATTATATTTGTATGTAAGATGATAAAAAATATTTCCTGTACTTTTACTTGTTATTTTATAGATGCCCCCCCCCACCCCAGAAATATATTCTGAATCTGCTTCCACCTCTTACTTACGTCGTTCAAATTAATACAATCGTCGTCTTGGTACATTCACACACACACACACACATATTTACACGCCGTCGACTCAGCCGTCTCGTTCGGACACGGAAGGCTAGTCGCTGCGACCTATCTTCTGATGCAGCACGTTAGGTTAGACCGAGACAATTCAAAATATTTTTAAATCATTCTACCTGAGTGCGATACACTGAAGACGATTGAACTGATAAGGACCCATGACGACGTACGCAGATCATATACATAACAATTTAATATGTATTATACTCACAAATGGATACACATATACATATACGAAACAGTGTAAACAAATAAATGTATGTGTTTCTATATAAAGTGACATACCCAGGGGAACTAAGGGAGCCTTACTTGATCGTGTTATGGTACAAATTTATACATTAAAAGGTAAAATACAAACCATCAAATTTCTGTAAAATGTTTTGAAAACAACGAATTATAAACTATTTTTAGAGGTTATTATGGTTAAAGTCTTACGGGGTATATTAAGAACGACATAATAAAAGGTACCGATCATAGGCCAAGTCTACAAAACCCGTATACGAAATATTATATTTAATACTTTTTAGTATCGATACTATACATTAATGTAACATAATAACAATGTACTCCCGCAACGAAAAAGTATAGTGCGATTACTTGATTTTTTGTGGTTTATACAGGTAAATAAATATATAAATACCTCATAAAAATACAATTAATGATTGTTTAAACACACTATAAGTAATACAGTTTTATAAAAATCAATAGTCAAAATATAAACAGATTATGAATGTAAATTAAAAAATAATTGGTGATTGCTCTGAAAAGCTAGAAGTACAATTTTCGTTGCGGGTATTGATTTACCGTAGAAACCCGAATCGTAATTATCACACAGATCTGTATTATTGTCGGTGATTATAACGCGCGTTACTCGACCGATCATCTCGCGAGTGGATAATAATACAATAATAATAATAATAATAATACATAACACACAACATATAAATGGTATGGATGCTTTTACGTTCACACATTTATAACCAACCCAATCGATGCGTACAAGAGGTATTGCGAAAACATTGTACTTGCCGTCCACCACATCTAGTGTTCTATTGTTTTAAATCTTATAGAGCAAGGATGGGAAACTCAATGTAATAAGAGGACCAATTTTTAGAAATTTAAAATCTGGCGGGCCATATTAAATTAATTAAAAATAAAAAAAAGTCATTAAAATTGACCATTAGCATTTACTTTCAACAATTTAATTTTACAGTTAAACCATTACAATAAAATAAGTGCCTAACACCTATAGCTATTTTAGCTATATTTACCATTATAGATATATATTATACTTAGTTATTTTATGATTTAGCTGGAATTCAAAACTAAAGAAAATATAATATCTACATTTTACGATTAACGTTTATTATCAACGTATTAAATAGTAATAATCACTAAAATGTGATGAAGTGATTTAAAAATACAACACAGCCAGAAAAAAAAAGTACGCGGGTCGCCAGTTGACCATCCATGTTATAAAGCATAGAAGCCCATATGCATTTTTCGTCATCCGATGAAGAGTCACTGAAGTCGTTCCTCTCATTATTACTCCGAACTCCCTCAATGTGTTTCAATAAGCGTTTGCTAAACCGAGCACTCGCACAACGCAATCACTGTTAACATGCTCGCCAGTGTTCACGTGAACGGACACCATAGGCGCAAATAGGGTAGTTTGAAGGGACTAAGACCCCTCAAAAACATTCAAAACCTTCACAAAAATCATGCAGAATTTTATATTATAATATTGATAGATAAAATAAAAAATATGCGATTACTACTAAAAAATTGAAATTTATTTTTATTTTTAAGTTTTACTTGCCTTCCAATAAGCAAATTTTTTATATAGGGTGAAGAGTGGAAAAAAAGTTTCTGAGAAGCAGTGATTGAAAAATATATGGGAGGGGTTGAAACCCCCAAAATTTTTTACTCTAATTGCGCCTATGACGGACACATTATGCAACGAAAACATGGTGTGAACAGAGGACGTAGTCTAAGAGAAACAATTTATTTTTTCATACGTTTTTGAAACTTGATTTTGTTTTTGTAATTATTGTTAACGTTTCGGTTTTAACGGCTGGTAAAACATTTCAAAACGCCGAAAAAGACGTATGTCTGCACACAAAAATTGGTGAAATTTATGGTCTTTTAAACAGATTTTCGAATTGTTTGGATAGTAATAATTGTTATTATTAATTCATTATTCATTTTTTACGCAACGAATCGATTGTTTCCATTCACGGAGGTACAAATTCGAAATCAGGAGCTTATCACTTCCAAGTTCGCTGGACCTGTAATCATGCGTCTATGAATAGAAATCGTTGGAGTAAACGATTAGTATAGATATCCTGAAAACGGGTTATTTCATATATTCGATCGAAATAATGGGATGACTGGACCCTTCTAATGGCGTTCGAACCGGGTGCAACTTCACCCTATGATCCCTCTTAGTTACGTCACTAGTCTTTGTGAAATCCCCAGTACGCTGTTTCGAAGGGCGCACCCTCCCTACAGGGTTTTCGACGAAATTACATTTTTATAGGATTTTCAAGTCTTGATTTGAAATATTAAAATAAAATACCACACGCAGAACACAATAAATAAGGCTTCCCGTTTCCGTAGAACCCGCCGAAAAAAAATGGCGTAGGTACAGATAGCGGTCGAGCTCAGTTGTAATTTAAATATATCGCCGTGCAAATCAACGACGGGAAGACGTTATCGTCAGGTCGGAGTGGTTGTTTCGGCCACGGTATAGGTTTCCCGACGTCTATGGCCCAAACCCAAACTTCGAAGGCCGGTTGGTTGGGTCGTTACGTACCGCGGGCAGCAGACATGCTCTGACTCCGCTTCGTGACATTCGTTGTTCGTTCGGCAAAGCGGTCTGCATTAGTCGGTTTGATCGGCGTCGCACGATTGATAGAAAAAAA